ATTTTATTTATTTAATGAGTCCATATTTTCCGAAATTATTATTATTATAATATTTTATTTTGTTAAATATGTGTTTTGCGCAAGTCGATGCCAGTTGATGGAAAAATAATAATTAAACGATGTTGATGTAAAATAAAAGAATGTCTCTAGTCCATAGAGCTTGATTAGACAAATTATTATTATATTAGCTTATGAATTTATCAAAACGAACGTATTTTTTACTATTTCAGACTTTGATTATTATTAAAAAAAAAAGACTTTGATTATCATTTTAAATTCTAAAAATGTTTGCTGAAGGTATACATAAATAAATAAATAAATATATATATATATATATTAATTTTAATTTGAAAGTTTACAAATATAGTATTATGTCTGCCTAACACCATTTTAAAAAAGTTTTACAATATGCATATATAAATTTTAATTTTAAATCTTTCTCACTTATCTGTCCTCTTCATTTTTTAAAAAATTTAAAAGTATGCATCTAGAAAGTTAAATGTTAAAATCACACTTGTTTCAAAAAAAATAAAAATAATAAATAATAATAATTAAATCACACTTCCTCTAATTTCTAAGTTTGCTATTAATATTTTTTTTAAGTCGATCACTTTTTTTATAAGTATTTATTTTTATATGTTAAATTATAATTTTAATATATGTACCTTAATCGTAATTTAATTTATTTTCTATACTTTTAACGCTATTTTTCTAATTAATTTTTTTATAGATTCATACTTGTTGGTAATTTTTTAAAAAATAAACTCAATTTAACTAGACAGCAGAAATTTAAAAGTAAATATGAAAAATAATTGACACTTGTCTCTAGAGATCATGTCCTATCCCACTTGTTCGTATTAAAAATGGTGGAAGGTCAAAAAAATATAAATTTTTTTATAATGTCCAATTGTTAGCTTTTTAATTTTAGTACCTAACAGTTGTTAGTGCAGTAAAAAATGTATAATTTTTCCTTTAAAAGATCTAATCAGAATTAAGTGTCCATTTGGTAATTATTTAGTATTTGTAGTTTTTAAATACATTTGATTTGTTAATTACCAAAATTTTCATCTAAGAAACCACATTATATTTATAAATGATTACATTTACAAATTATCTTAAAGCTTTTGAGATTTATTGACATTATTTAACAAGTTTAGAAACTCTCATTAAATTTTAAAAATATTGTTCACTCTAGAGAACTAAATAAATCATATTACAAATTTTATTACAATGTTTAAATTGACCAATTTAAACGATATAAATAGATTACTATAAATTAAAGATCAGGATTAAATTGTTACTTCAACAGAATTAAAATTATTACTGAATTTTAGACATGAATAATGTTGTTTTGTGGCAGAGATCAATGGAGCTGATCTGCTTCTTCCTCCTCCCATGTTTCACGGCAGAAGCAGCGTACAAAGTGTGGTGGTACGTCTCAGCAGCCAACCAAATCCCATACTACGGCAACAACATGTACATCAGCTACATCACCAGCTGTGCACTGGAGCTCTGCTCCTGGCTCTACAGAACCTCCATCTTCTTCTTCGTCTGCATCCTCTTCCGCCTCGTCTGCCGCCTCCAGATGGTGTGCCTCGAAGATTTCGGGCGCGCCTTCCATCGGGAGACGGAGGTGGGCGCCATCTTGAGGCAGCATTTGGGGCTCAGAAGAACCCTCAGAATCGTCAGCCATCGGTTCAGAGTGTTCATGTTGCTGTCTCTGGTTTTGGTCACCGCCAGTCAATTTATATCTCTCTTGATGACTACCAGATCCAATGCCCATGTCAATCTCTCCAAGGCTGGACAACTTGCGGTAATCTTAATTACTTCTTCCCTCCTGGATTCACAACTTTTAATTGTCAATTTTGTAACGGTAGTTGCTTTTGATCGGTAAGCACGCTTGAGTTTTATCATTTTTTTATTCACCTTAATTGTCATTTTTCAGTACAATATGTTGGGGTGAAAATTCAAATTCATGATCTTTTAATTCGGATATAATTAATTGTCTTGACCAATTGAATTATAAGATTGGCTAATTGTCACTTTTTTTTTGGGTATAAGTAGAAGATACTTGCTTTAAACACCTATAATTAGTAATTTAGTGGGAATTTGATTTGGTTACATTGGTAAAAGCTATGAATTTTGAGAATGCAGCTATGCTCCGTCAGCCTGGTGACAGGCATCTTCATATGCCTCCGAAGTGCTGCAAAGATCACCCACAAGGCACAGTCCATCACGTGCCTTGCTGCCAAGTGGCACGTCGCCGCCATCATAAACACCTTCGACGACCTCGACGGTGAGACGCCGACGGCAGCTCGGGTCATGTCAACCATTGTATCTAATTCTGATGACGAATATGAGGATGATGACGACTTGGACGATGCCAAATTAATGCCAGTTTTTGCCCACACAATCTCATTCCAAAAGAGGCAGGCATTAGGTAAGTAAACATAGCTCTCTTCAACTTTTAATATTGTGTAAGTCCCTAAACTTTAAATCCTAAAAGAATGAAAGAAAACCATTCCAGAACAAGAAAATGACATCGCGATTAAGAAGCTTAGAATCTAAACATCAATTTTTYTGTAGCTGATTTTTTTTTTAACTGTATGCATCAAAAGGTGCCCGTAAGTAAGAAGTGTCTAATAGATCGTCAAAGTTCTCTATCTCCTAAAGGAGATGCAATATCAAAGGGCTTGGATCTTATGGTATCACCTACCATAAGGTTTTGGGTTCAAGTCCTGTAAGTTTCGATTATAGGAATTCGCAGCGTAAGCCATCCGACATTAATTCTGAAAAATTAAAAAAACAAAAAAGGGTCCAATTTCTCCTATTGAATACTTTTTAAAACATTTCAGTCCTCTTAGATACAAAGTCGAAAGTTCATAAAAGTATTATAAACTTTTTTTTTTGTGTGTGCAGTGGTATATTTGAGGAATAACAAAGCAGGAATTACAGTGTATGGATTCATGGTGGACAGAACATGGCTGAAATCCATTTTTGCCATTGAACTTGCACTTGTCCTGTGGCTGCTCAACAAGACTGTTGGTATTTCTTGAACTTTTTTGCTACCTCTTACACAATTTAAATTTCCTAATCTCCATAAATATTATTTATGAATTTTACTTATATATATACATACATATATACATACATGTAGTATATGCGTGTGTATTTATGTGGATCTACAAGAAATTTTGATTTGTACGATGAAATCTTTGCGACCTGAAATAACGTCGAAAATGTTACAATGAAATAATTAATTTCAAGTTATTGTTTCCTCTCTAATAACCCTAGTTCTGAATGAAAAATGGTTAAATAAATGATTTTTTCTTTTAATCTTATTGGCATGAAGAAGATTTGAAACGAGAATATAATTGGAGTCTTTTGTTTTCATGTCCGTTAGAAAGGAAAAAAAAAACATATAAAAAAAGGTTCATTAATATAATCTTTCAAGCTATAAATTAATTATAAGAAAATTATAATATGATGAGACTAATGGTTCGTCTACTTACCCACAATCGTAAACAATGAATCGCAATGAGAACTTTGATTCCCTTTGATGATTTTTACTAGGAATGTAATCAAATAGTGGGATCTACCTCAAACTTTGTAATCTCATTAGGTATAATTTGATTACACTCCTACAACTCATCAATCTCATTCTCATTCTTTCTTCCGTGGACCCTACATATATATTATATAATGTATCACTTTTATCCTTTCTCTCTCCTCTCCTCTACAGATTAAATACAATATAATTTTTAATTAGTTTTTTTATACTTTTATAATTTCTTCTCCATTTATACTCCAATTTTTATTAGTTGATGTAATTTTATTACATATGATAAATTAATATTATCAATAAAATTTTTAAATAAATATTATTTCTTTTAAATGTTATAATTATAAAATTTAATAATATTTCTAATAAAAAATATTTTATATGATGTAATTTTATTTTAATTTCATTATGTATTAATATTAGATAATAAAATATATTTATTATCAATAATATAATAATATAGTAATAAATAAAATTAAAATTTATTATTATTGTAATTTTAAAAAATTAGCACAATAATATATTTGTAATTAGTTAAAATGGAGAAAGGGGTATATTAGTAATTATTATATATCTGATTCCGATTCTGATTCCAGACAGTTTTAGTAAACAACATGAAATAAATTCTTATTACGATTCTAGAAAATTTGTGGTAAACAACATCAATGAAATAACATTACGATTTCGATCCATTTCATTACGATTGATTTCCATTACGATTGTGGATAAGTAAACGTGGCCTAAATATATAATTTACTTTAAAATTATAAGAATGGTTAGGAATTTTTTTTTTTCGTTTTCGATACATAGTTATCGTGACAATAAATAATGAAATTTATCAAAATTTTAAATTACTCAAAATCCTGATGCAGTAAAAAAAAAAATATAGCATCAATTCATATGAGGTTAAAGTAGAAATTATGAGAGAAATTTTGGACATATAAATATGAGGAAAAATATCTTTAATGATATAAAATCGATAATTTTTAAATAAAAATATGTGGTTCTCACCTTCATAATTGTATTTTTTTTTTTTTAACATAAAAGGGCTTAAAAGAGAACTAAATCAAAGCATTCAATTCAACCAGAAACCACTCGAGTAATTGAGTAAGCCCGGAGCCAAAGAGTTCGCCCACCTCTTGGTGAATTTAATTGAAATCACTGATTTTTCCTTCCCGAGAGCTTTAATTTCCTCAACAATTCAGTGGATGTCGGTAATATCAATGTCGGTATTGTTCAGTAGCTTCTCCATCTCTAACGAGTCCGTTTCCAGGCTAATCTTCCGTTGTTGTTGCTTCTTAATCCCTCCAAAATTGCTAAGGCTTCTAGGTATTGTCATTTTRTCCATAATTATAATTAAATTTCAACTCAACTACATTAATGACGGTGACTAACAAGAAAAATGTTTGTCAAACGTGAACTTAGCTAGATTCCTCTTCGTTGTACTGAAAAAACAAGAAAAATGTTTAATATGAAGATTTGACCTCTTCTTTGCATGTTATGTTAAATTGCTATTCAACTCTTCTTGAAAAAAAATTGCCATTAATCCAAAAAAAGGTTAATAAGTTAAGTTAAAATATAGTATTTAAAATATATTTCTTTAATAGTTATTACTAATAATAGTATAGTATAAAAGGAGAGTTGTTGAAAGCATGCCAAAAATTCAGATGCTTTTTTCCTATTGGTTTTGCTTATCTCATGCATAAAAGAAATATGTATTACAAAAAATTTAAAATTTTACAAAAATAGCAAGACAAATTCAAATGTGACGTGAAATGCATTAAAAATGTCAAAATTTATACTGTATTAGAAAAAACCTGGTGACAATTTAAAACAAAGGTTTAAATATTGTTTTTGTCCCGTTCATTTTAATTTTTGTACTCTCGAAGGGTTTATTTTGGTCGTTGTGATTTTAAAAAGTAACAACTTTTGTCCATATTTGTAAAAATTTAACACAAATTTTATACGCAATAGAAATTTTTTAATATATCTAGTGAGTGAAATGTTATGTTAAAATTGTGATACAACGAATTAGATAAAAGTAAAAAATAGAATGACCAAAATAGTTATTTTTTAAATATACAATAACCAAAATGAACTTTGACTAAAATGAACAAATATTAAAAATATATGAACCAAACTTGCCGTTTTGAAAGTATAAGAACCAAATCAACGCTACGTAATATCATTTTAAAAATACATATTAATTGTATTTATTAATTTTATTATTATTTATCTTTTTTTTTAATTCAACAGTGGAAGGTGGAGATTTAAATCTTGATTTTTTTTGGGCTGAAAATATACACCCGTTCAACCTTCAATTTGTTCTCTGTATTATATTAAACCCTTCAAAAAGAAACAAATGAAATTAAAATAGTTTACACAAACATATCATTGCCGGCCTTTCAATATATCATATTCTATATCACAAAATACCAACATATCAACTTTAGAAAGAACAAAAAAAATAATAATAGTGGCAGAAAACAAAATCAACGACCAAAATCAATAAAATCGACCAAGCAAAACAAAGAATGTAGATAACTAGAAAGTAAGAAAAAATAAATAAAAATCAAAGCAAATTAAGAAACATCGAACAACACTTGGGAAGTGTCGAAATAATTGTCTAACCAATCAAACATTAATTCTTGCTCCTCTCCTCTTGCAACGTTGACCCACCATCGTGACATTAGAAATCAAGATATTGGTATTGAATTTATCAATCGATTCATAACTTTGTCACCACGAGTCAGAGCTCATGACGGTGAGGGTTTATTTCCTTTTTAATTGAAGTTGAGAAAGAAAGAAGGGCCATTAATTACCGTTATTTCTATAAACTTAAGATTTCGTAGTTTCTCTGATTATAGAGCTACCAAATTAAATTTTTTGATTTGGGAGATTATTTTATTTTTTACAATGTCAAATTAATGATTGTGTAAATTTTATATTAATCCAATATTGGGCTGGCAGGCAAAATCGTCATCTCACGTTCCGAAATTCGGCAATTGGGACACCGACGACGTACCGTACACCATCTGCTTCGAGAACGCCGGCGAACTCCGAGCCGCTGGCGTAACCTTCGATCCCAACGATCCGGACACCTATCCGCCGGAGGCGTTCCCCGCCGCGAACCACAGATCTAATCCCTCAGACCGCCGGCGGCATCACGACCACCACCGGCGGCCTCGCGAGCAGCCTAATCGCGACCGGCGAAGCTCCGGATCGGAGAAATTGAGCAGCGAGAGGAGCGGTTCGGATTACTCGCTTCTGAAGGAGCCGGGGGGGAGGAGGAAGAAGATCAATAATGGAGTGGACGGAATCAGCCGGTTTCCTCCGACGGCGGCCGGCCATGGCGGGAACCCTAACCCTAACCCTAGGGCTCGGCGGAATGAGGGGGAAATGGTGGCGTCGGTGCCGAAATTTGGGAGCTGGGATGCGAGGGATCCGAAATCGGGAGATGGATACACGGCGATTTTCAATAAAGTGAAGATGGAGAAGAAAATTGGAGGTTCGAATAGTTCTCAGGCTGTGCCGCCATTGACGAATCAGACCAAGCAACAGCCCATCCCTCAGATAGTCCATGGATCCACTTCCTTTGTATCCAAGGTAAACCCTTTTTTCTTTTTCTTTTTTTCCTTTTTGGGGGCTATTTTATGATAGGGAATAAACTAAAACCTAATTTTGAAGTTTTTTTTTGCTTGCATTTACTTTATTTTTAACAAACTAATTACGCAACTTCTATAGGTACATGAGTATTTATTGGAGCTAGGTTATTAGATTTTCGTTGGAATATCAACATTCACGTGTATTTCTATTTCTATGCGTKKATGAGTTCGATACTGTGAGTTGATATTTCGATTATATTATAAAATTATTGATGAGATATTAAAAAATGTCAATGAAATAAGTGGAAATAATATTAATAATAAGAAATTGTAACTTATTTTAAAAATGGGAACAACTTAATTTATTGATTTTAAATTCTTTTTGGGGCCAAAATGAACTTAGCTGATTGGCACGTGTTTCTGACCAAGAATTCATGGGCTTGAATATTTACTTGTTGTACTAAAAAAAAATATTTTTTATGAATTTATTTTTACTTTTATGGTTTTTTCATAAATATCTATTGATATTGAAATTTTATCAATATTTTTATCCAGGTCTGAATTCGAGACTTTAATATTTATGTGACATTGATCTTTAAAATTTTGATTGGAGCTACATAGCTCGGTTGCCTGAGACGAGTATCAACTATCAAGTGAGCATATATTAAGTGAGAAAATATAACCATGAAGGACAAAATAGTTATTTTTATGAATTCAATGACTGAATTAGATATTGACGATTTAAATATCAAAATAGTTACTTTTAGATTTTTAAAAGATTAAATTAGATCATGACAACTCAACAATAAAAAATGAATATTTTAAAAAGTTCAGAGACCAAAATGAGGTTTAAACGTTATTAAATTTGTTTTATTTTGACATCTAAATTTTTAATGCCTTACATCTATAGTTATTTAACTTTTAGTTTCTATTTTTAGAAATTATGTTTTCTTTCTCACCCTTTCTTTTAGTATAGTTTTCCTCCTTAAAAACACATTTGTATTTTTAGCAAAATTTAAAATACTAACAATTTCTTAAAGTCTGATATATATATATATATATATATATATATAATTTAGCTTATATCATATTATGAAAATAATAGTATCAAATACTGAAATATTATATTTATTTAAATATGCAGGTATGTTGTTGTTTGTGTCCAAAGTGAAGAATATGATCAACTACTTCAACACTAAAGAGAGTGGAAGTGCTCTGCTGGTTTTCCATAGTTTGGCTATTTTCCACTTTTTTGTTTTGTTTTTCAATTTAAAGAATATCTCTTTCTTGTATTTTGATTTAAATATACATCTGAATTTAAATATTACATAATATTGTTGCATATAAAAATCATAGTCAATTGATATATATTTGATAGTAATCACTTTCTTTCATAAGGATAGTAATCACTTAATCTTGTTTAAATTCATGTATTTATGATGCAAATTGTCACAATTTATATGCTTTAAGGCTCTGTTTGTATCTCAAATTTTAAGGCTCTGTTTGTATCTCAAATTTTGAAGGATCTCAAAAATATGACTGATTTCAAATGAATTCCACTATTTGTTAGCACATGATTTTTAATAATTTTAAATCTTACCGTATTTGAAATCATTATTTTATACACACAAAAAATTCGGAATCAAAATGATCGGATTTTATAGGATTTCATAGCATTTCAAAATAGATTACCAATTTAATCTGGTCATATTTTAATTTAGAATTAATAAATTTAGATTAAAAAACCTAAATCAGTAAATTTTTTATTTTATTTTCCTTTCTCACGAACATGGAAACAAATAAATTTAGTTAATTCATTTGAAATCATTAACATTTCAAACAAGATAAAAAATTTCATGAAATTTAAAATAATTTATTGAACTATTTGATGGGTTATGTATAATTATTAATATATTAAAATTTAAAATATATCTTCCAAAGTGAATATAATATCTATTCGTGAGGTTGGAGGTGTAAACCCCACACCTCCAATTTGTTTTTCGTCTCCTTTTTATTTTGCTATTTTTCATTTTTTTTCCCTTTCTCTTTGGTTATTTGTTCTTTTGATTTAGGTTATTACAAAAACTTCAACCCATAAAATTAAAATGAATAATTTTATATATGTTTAGCAATTAACTTTGATAAATATTATATTTGATTTATAAAATATAATATTTACCATTAATTAATTACAACTAAAAGATTGATTGCTGAATATTTTTCTCTTTCTTTAGAATGATTGCTACATATATTTTTATTTGTTTTAAATGTCCAAATAAAATCAACCATCTAAAATTTAAAGTTGCTATTTTTTTTTGAGGAAAATTAATTTACTAATGAATGAAAATTAAATTAAATTATAATTGTTTAAAATAATTTAAAGTAATTTAACTCAATAAGAATAAATCAACTAGCAACAATTAATTATTTAAAATTGACTAATATTGTCTAAAGTTGATTTTAATAACATTAATTTGCAGCAACAAACACAAACATCATTATTTCCATGAAAATTTGATAATATTTCAATAGACAATCAAACACAATTATTTTTGTATTTCTAGAAATCTTATTCAAAAGGATTTTATTTCCGGACATCTTATTCCAAAAAAATTTTAAATTAAAACTAAAACCAAACAACCTTTGGGCTTATGTGACAAAACCTATAGATGTCTGACATAAGACATAATTTTTGRGTATCTATTTTTTTTAAGTACAACTTGTAGGGTGGGAGTTGGAACTAATGACCATTTGGTCAAAGATAAGTGCCTTAATCATTTGAGCTACGCTCGGTTTTGCTTTGAGTATCTATTTACTTGTGTCATAATTGGTMGGACTATTACTAGTTTGAAATTAAAATTATCCACGTGTTGAATTAGAAAAAATAAAGTAGAAGTATGATAAAAAAAAATCGGAGAYTATCCTCATCTCCATATTTACTAAAAACACTTACTTGTACTAAAAAAACACACACATTTAATAKAGTAACACATAAATAATTTAATCGGTTAAGAAATTACTTTTATCTCCTTCCAGATTGGAAACCTTTAACAAATGTCAAATATTACGCTCCGTTTAGTTACCCGCGTAATCAATAAATCGTAATGAAAACTTTGATTCCCTTTGATGGTGTTTACCAAATTGTAAGAATGTAATCAAATGGTGGGATTCACCTCAAATTCTGTAATCCCATTACATGTCTAATCCCATTACACTCCTACGACCTCATCAATCCCATTCTCATTCCTTATTTCGTGGATCCCACATATATATTATAATTAATGTATCATTTTTATCGTTTCTCTCTCATCTATGGATTAGATCCATATAATTTTTTAATTAGTTTTTTTTATACTTTTATAATTTCTTCTCCATTTATACTCCAATTTTTATTAGTTGATATGATTTTATTATATAATATTAATTAATATCAATAAATTTTAAAATAGATATTATTACTTTAAATATTAGAATAATAAAACTTAATAATATGTTTTACTAAAGTTTGGTTGTTCTAATAAAAAATATTTTATTTGATGTAATTTTATTTTAATTATTCATTATGTATTTATATTAGATAAATTGTTATAATAAGAAATATTTACTATCAATAATATAGTAATAAATTAAATTAAAATAATTATTATTGTAATTTAAAAAAAATTAACACAATAATATATCTGTAATTGGCTCAAAAGGAGAAAGGAGTATATTAGTAATTGTATGTATCTGACTCTGATTCCGATTTCGATTCCAATAGTTTTAGTAAACAACATAAGAATTCTCATTACGATTGCAAAAAATTTCTAGTAAACAATATCAATAGAATAACGTTACGATTCCGATTGATTTCATTACTATTGATTTTTATTACGGTTACTTTCTATTACGATTGCGGTTAAATAAATGTAGCCTACATTCACAATTTTGGTAGAAAATTCAAAATTTGAAAAACCTTGCGGGCCCCCTGCGTTTCATCCACTAAACAGTTATGTACACGTGGGCTCCACGCAGCAGATTTGTTCAGACTTCAAACGGGCGCTCTTACTCGCATTCAAAAATATCGGGTGGACGGATCAATAATAATCCACTGGAAAGTCCCCACCAAATCTTCCTGGTCTCCGCTCCACGTGTCCAGCCTAAATCAAATCTGACGAACGCCATCCCATAAACTCCATCCAGGCCGTCCGATTCCGAAGGCTACAGAGATTGGTATATACATCACGTCACACAGAAGCACAGCTCGGTCTCCCCGTMAGCCGTTTCCGCGCCCGACAAAAACGAGCCACAACGGCATCGTTTCTTGCATCGACGTGCGTTTCAATTTTCCCCATCCCGAGCGCCAAAACTGTTGCAAGAAATGAAAAAAAAGGGATAAAAATCAAACAGAGCACCAGAGAGTAGAGAGTAGAGCCGCCATAATCCGGCAGATCATCTTCAGTTTTCGAATTCCATTTTTCCGAATCAGTTTCAGAGCTTCGCTGAAATATGGAGATCGGATCGGGTGCGATTGGAGTCTGCTCGAAAGAACAGCAGAAGATCTTTCAGGAGTGGTTCACTTTGGCCGATTCAGGTTATCTTTCTACCCACAATCGTTTTTCTTTTTCTTTAATTTATCATCAAGATGTTCATCGTTTTGTTTTCTCTTTTCGTGTAGATGGAGATGGCCGTGTTACTGGAAATGACGCCATACAGTTCTTCTCCATGTCTCATCTTTCTCGCGCAGAGCTCAAACAGGTATCTCTCTTTCATTCTTTTTTAATTTTTAGTCCATCGAACTCTGTAAACTAGAGAGTTATGATTTGAGTTGGTTAGGAACTTGATGTTAAGTTTAGAGGTGGATAATCAGTATTTCTGAATCTTCCTTATTTGTGTATTTGGTCAAAGTTTGTGTTTACGTTCATTTGTTTTGTGGTCACAGATTTTCGTTTTTTTTGTCTCTTTTTCAAACTTTTTGTGCTTTACAAATCTTCCTCTTAATCACGCTGAGAGAAACTGTGATGGTAAAATGTTGGGGCATTTTGACTAAATACATATTAAGAAGTTGAATATGCTAATACATTGAGATTGCATCGAGTATCTGCCTTT